CAATTTTAGCGCCAGTATGAAAAAAGAGGAAGCAGCCATGGAGTGGAAAGAGTACTAAATATTCCAAATATTGGTAAGCAGGTAATTCTAACTCCAGTGCCTCTTACACCCACCTCTGAAGTAGGTGTTCTCAAAATTTTCTTCCATCACTATTCAAATCATTAACCTCTGAATAATTTTCTCATGTTAACCTCAATCATTTCCCTTACTCTGACTTATAAAGCACCTGACTATAGGGCTTCATTTGGGGACTCTGCTAAGAATACCTTTTTAATATCCTACAGAGTAGGATAATGAATTTTAGTGTTTTAAACTAGCTAAAAACAAAATTATTCAAATCCTAACTCTTAAAGGAATTAGGTTTATTAAGTCTCAAAATGACATAGAACACATTGTTGGGGAAATAGTAAGTGCTCATTAAATGATTACTTGATTGGTTGTCTTTATGCCTGAGACATTTAATAATTATTTGAAATAAGTCTATAAAATTGATGTGAAAAGTATGACTTGTAATCAGTTCTTTAGGTAAATCTATGAAAAGGAGATGGAATTTTTAAAATTAGAATTCCTGGAATAAGTGTGACTGTTTACACTGATGTTATTCCAAAAGAAAACCCATGCATTCAATGAACCAATGTATTTTCTTGGAGGAAATGTGGGAAATTCAACCCCAAATAGGCAGAAAAACTTTAACAATGGTTGAAAATTACAACTAATAGAATGATGCAATCGTTCTTTGGCCCTCATAAAAACTGGTTCTGTGGTAGGATAAAATAGGTTTTATAAGAAAAACTAAGTTTATAAAACTCAAGAATACTGATGAAAGGCAGACTTTTGAGGTTTTAAATGATCTAATTTTCTGTTCTTTTATTGTGTTTGGAAGTGGTGGCAGAAATTATGAAATATAAGCATATTAAAGGTAGTTTGGAAGATACCTAATCTCTATCACAAGATAATTACTGGTTGAGAGTTCTTTCCTAATAAGCCAACATAATCTATCTTGTGCATTTCTTGTCATCTCCCTCACTATTTCCACATAGAATACTTTCCACCTGGCTCTTTGTGACTGCCACTAAAACCACTTATAGGGGGCTCTGAGAGACCCAAATCTTCTTGTTAATGGGGTTATGTCTTTACTTTCATCAATTAAAAGTGGAAAACTATAAAGAATGTCATAAGAAAAATACAGCTGTGTGAATATTGGCACAACAGGGTGAAGCTATTCCTGCCGTGTGTTTCTTTTCCCCATGTCCCCTTTCCAGTGCATATAGATCCATTGCTCTGGTGGTTTCAGTTTGGCCCCAGTTACGACTAAATCTAAGAACTCAAAGGAAAACACAGCTGAAACCACCGCCTGGTGGCTTAACTCACAGCCCCAAATGATAGGCCTCCATCAAAGCCGCGCAAGCAGGCTTTCAGCAGGAAGGCTGATGACTAGAGCTCATTTTGGAAAAATAGAGAGTTTGACAAGTCAGAAAGAGGGGCTTTCTCATAGCTGCCTTAGGATATTTTGCATAGACCTACTGAAAAGAAACACTGAGTATTCTAATCCCCTACGATACGTAAGAAAAACATGATAGATTTCTCTAGCACCTGAAACTGACTGAGTCTCTGCTAGCGTGCTAAAGTGAAGAGCTGAGCTGTACATAGCAATTTCTTTCATTTGTATTTGATTTTTTCTCACTCAGTTCTGAAAGATTGTGGGTCAGTGAATGATCTTGAACGGGTAAACCTAACGCCCATAGTTGTGATCCAATGGTCTCTGGAAAGAAAGATGCTCTACCTTCAAATATGTTAGGCACAAAAATGGAAAATTAGCTGAAATGTGATCACTTAGATTTCCCTGCTGTTTTCAGAAACCTGATGGTAAATTCCTTCTGAGACCGTCAAGGATGGCGCCAATGTTCTTGTGTTTATATCTCGTGGGCACCTCAAAAGGAGGATTATAAATTGCTTTTCTCTGTTGCTATTCCTCTACGAAACAGAATTAATGTTTTCTGCAAAGTAGTGCTAGAAAAGATTAAAAAGATAAGCTGAGTGAAAATATGCTAAGGACTTAGGAGAGTATCTCTATTTTCTGCCAAGCTAGAAAATCCCATTTATTAGGCAGACGAGTGGAACATGATAAATGAAAGATATGCTGAGTGTTTTTTTAATCGCTGCCTGAGAATGTATTGTTTTTATTTTAGAGAGAAAAAGAGAGAGAGAAACACCGATGTGAGAGAGAAATATCCATAGGTTGTCTCCTGTACTTGCCCAGATCGGGTATCGAACCCAAAACCTAGGTATGTGCCCTGACTGTAATCAGACCCGCTACCTTTTGGTGGACGGGATGATGCTCCAACCAGCTGAGCCACCTGTCCAGAGCAACAATTTGTGATTTTTTAAGATGGATATATTTGCTTCTTTATCTCTTCATGAGTCCCACATATATTCATTTAAAAGACATTTTTACACTGCTCTGAAGTTTTCATTTCATCTGGAGGGAATTCATCTTCTAATTGCTTTTCTTGTCATTCTTAAATGTGCCTTTTCTTCTTATGTTTTGATATTTTAATTTTCCATTCACTGTGAGTAAGAATCCTATCCCTCACCACCTGTGCTCACCTTTCCTTATTAATGTTATTGAGTCTTTCTCCATTCCATATTACAGACCTTTAATCTAGAATCAGATCTTAATTTGGATGTCAGGCCTCCTGTTCCATGGAGATTTTAGACACAGAGCCGATGTAGTCACAGAGCCCATGGTGGCTTGTTGCCGGTTGTCTGCTCTCTCCTGTCTTCCTGGATAGAGATCAGCGCCTTTCCTCAGCGTAGGCGATAGATCCTCGCTTCTAGTTTCAGTCAGCAGGCCTGGATTTTGTCCCGTCCTTCTCATGAAGTCAATCCCTTTACTCAGGAAAAGAACCAGCTGTCTCTGTCTGCTTCTGGAGCTAAATTATTTCAGGCCCATGGTTTTTTACCTGCTTATTGCATTTTGCTTTTCTTATGTTTATGGTCCATAGAGATATTGGACTAAACTTTGACTGTGGTTGTATCACTTCAGTCATCTCTTTTTATATTTAATCCATCATTGTTATTGCTTTTGAGCAGAAGAATTTTCAAAGCATGAACTTAGAACACTCTTTTTATTGGAAGTACTTCAGTTTCCTAAACTGACTTTTCCCCTCACATTTCCAATATAACTGCCTGAAATAAAGGTTCAAATGGCTCTCTGTTATCTAAATTCATCAAAAGTCTGTATCTTTTAGTTGTATGCTAAGAAACTAGATCTCCCCTTATGAAAACATTCTATATATGTCAGTGCTCTTCTGCAGACAATATTCTGAGTAAATAGTGCATTTTCACACTTTTAGTTATTGTCTGAGGCTGGTATCCATAAAATAGCATATTAAATTTGACTTTATCCACCATTAATTAATTTATTTTTAATTGCCCTTATGAATTATATTGTCCTTGACCCAGATAACTTCCCAATCTCTAGAAATCAATAAAACAAAATGTATATCTTTTTTCTTCCCACCAAGACTACCTTTTAAATGATGTGGGCAATATTTACTGGCATGCATGTATCATTACCTTGGGCCTGGTAAACTGATTTAAAGAAATAGAAGTCATGGTCTCTATTTAACAAGCCTGCAAACCAAATACTTACTTGTTTTCAGATATATGTATATATATATATATATATATATATACACACACATATATATATACATATATATATATGTGTATATATATGTGTGTATATGTATATATATATTTCAGTTACTGTTCACATTCAATATTATTTTGTATTAGTTTCAAGTGTATGGCATAGTGGTTAGACATCAAATATTTATTTGTTTAAATTATTTATTCAGCACTTAATATGAGGAACTAATTGCACTGCTGTTGTGTTTTGTAATATAAAGAAGCAGCAGACAAAAGGTCTTGTTTTAAGAAGCACAGGCTTTAAGATGTATTTATTTGACAGTCTTATGCATCATCTATGCTACTGTGCTAAGAGCTGAGGTAAAATCATTCATGGAGGCTAATCGTCATTTCTTCAAAGGTTATTGAAGGAGATAAATCAGCAATGACCATAGTTCAGGGTACATAATGGTGACTACTATGGCAGGCGTAGAGAAAGCGCTGTGGTTACTGGCTGGAAGGAGCTGACTTCTAACTGAGAAGGGGGGGGGCATGAACTGGGAAAGAGCTTCCAGGGGAGACGCCGTTTGAATGGGGCTTCAGGGAATGGTAGTGTTGAGGGAAAGAGCATTCCGCTCTGAGGACCAAACACAGAAAAGCAAGCTGGGGCGTAGTATAGTCCAACAGGTACTACTAGTATTTTCTCTTATACTTTGTTTCTTCACTTTCAATGTTTAATCAGTAAATGGATCAAAGTAAAGAGCCCTCATCACCACTGGACTTGTCTGGAAATCATTTCATTCATCTTCCACTAACATATCCTTGCTTTCAGATGATGTAAAGTTGCCTTAGCACTGTCATAAGAAATATTTCTGGCAAAGGAACTGATTCTTTCCAGTGGTACAGAAAAGAGGGTGCTGACGGTCCTAGAGTAGTTGGGCGGAATGAGAAGGAGGCTTGTTCTGTTTGGTGGCAAGCTTGAAGAAATTCGACAGAGGCTACAGTCTGCAGGCTGTGGCAGCGAAATCCACGAGGAGAGGGGGTTGTTTGTGCCTTTGCATCTCAGGTGGACGACACCAATAGTAGTTCTAAGAGTCATTTCCCCGGATCCTTTCTGCACTCCTGGAAGGTGGGCAATTTGGGATTTCAGGAGGCTTTTTTTTTTTTTTTCCCTTTTAAAAAGCTTTTGGAGGAGGTGATCGCAGAAGGAAACCACCCCTTTCCTTTTCAGCTGTTAGACTAAGGCACAGATGCTATATGAACATAGGCAATTATGAAATCATTTTGATTTGTGCTATTGAAAATATTAATATTATAAGAAAGAATAATATCATCTTTCTAATAAATTACGCCTACTTCTCTTGCAGAAATAGATGACAAGAGGGTGACCAACACACAAGCAGAAGTAAGTTTTCTTATAATTTGTATAAATAGGTGTTCAAATCAATAAAAAACACAATTACTTGATTTTATGCCATGTAAAACATGATACCAATATAATTGTGATGTAAAAACTACTTAGTTTGCTTTTCCTGACTGAACATGCAGTAAAATGTGCCATTAAGTCTCTGCCTGCAGGTTACCTTAATTTTCTACCTACGCAATGCTAACCCTTGAAAAAAGTTCTAAAGTAAACCATTGCTTTTAGTGGTAAGATATGGCATTGATAACTTCAATTTAGTGACTGCTGGTATAGGACCATCACAGGCTGGGGGACAGGCAATGTTGGAATTCTGGAGGGGGACAGCCACCTCTTAAAGAGTTCTGGTGTGGGGGTAAGATCAGATCATGAGGCGGGCTTCTCCAAATACACAACTAGGAGTTCAGATAGAGAACAGAAACCAAGAGAGGCTAGGGGAGCTGATAATATAGAATATATAGAATACAGGAAGTGAGTCAACTTGCATCCAGAAATGGACCAAATATTTAATAAGTTGCATGCAGACTTAGTCAATTTCCATAAAGCTGCATAAATAGGCATATAGTAAACACTCAGAAAAATACAGAAAGAACAAAATGTCAAAATACTAAAAATTTAATGAGATTATATATGTGAAACTGTTTTGGAAACGGACTCTCACATAAATATAGTATTTATTACTTAAGTTCTACTGCTGTTGTAAGAGTCTTTTCTAAAGAGTTAATTTTCTACTTGACCTTTGTATACGTGTGTGAAAATAAATATATAAGAAATCCTGGAAGAGATTGCTTTCCAAAATCAACCAGGTGGGACTGAGTGCAGTAGAGGTACATCAGAAATGTCAATCATCCTCACGTTTCCACTGATGTAGAGTTGCCCTGCCGGCTCCCATGCATAGTGAACTGCTACCAAAACACTCCATTCTGGAGAATTTGCTTGTACCATTTGTTTGGTTGATATGGATTTGGCAACTTTGTTTCAATTTTTTACTTTTTAAAAATAATAGTAGTATTTATTAAAGATCCACTTAATTAGCTAAATGAACCATTATGTTAAAACATTATTTTTCAATCCTTTTTTTATTTTCAATAGATTTTAGTGTCAGTATATTTCTATGTTCTATATTTCTACTCAAATATATCTTACAGTGACAAAATATAATTAAAATTTTTAAATTAAATTTATTAAATTAAATTTATTAATTCAATAAATTAAATTATTGATCCCTATCTAATTTTATTAACCAATAATTTTTTTAAACTTTTTAATAGATTGTTTTTGAATCAGGTAAAAACCAACTTCGTGATGATACTTTAAGGACAATTAAGCTTTAGTATGTACCAGGAAAAACTCTTCAATTTCTATTTACAACTTTGTGAAACAGTTGCTAATATACATGACAAGGCTAGAATAATTCCCTAAAAGTATCCTGTAACTATTTATATTTGAGCATTTCAAAGCAAAAATAATTGCTCCAGAACTAAAACTCCTATCTTTGACATTCTGAAATACAAATTGACACACTATTAAAAAGGAGTCTTACACAATCTGATTTGAATATGGACCACATATATATTATTATAATAAATAATATTATATAAACACGCATACTCAGCACAGGTATGAACTGTGCAAGTCCACTTATGTGGGGATTTTCCTTTAGGGAATACAGTTGACCCTTCCAGTCCATGGGTTTTTCATACACTGATTCACCAACCGCAGGTTGCAAATAGTATCTTCTCACTCCCCATCCAAACTCCAGATTCTCTACCCTGCATCAAAAACACTTTTCTTCCTTAAGTGGTTGGTTAAATCTGCTCATGTGAAGGGCTGATTACAGTTAAGTTTGGGGGAGTCAAGTCAACTGGTTGGGGTCTCAGTGTCCATAACCCCTGCATTGTTCAAGGGTTGTTGGAGAGAAAAAAACCCTGATCCAGTGTGCTTAGGCGAGAGTGTTAAATAGCAGTTTTGTTAGAAAAATTATTACCTTAACATTTAAATTTGAAGTAAATGTAGATATTAGATTGAATCTATCAATTCCAGAGATTTATAGATTGATTGGTATTACTGACCACAGAGCCTCATTATTCCACCAGAACCATTTGACAGTCCTAGGAACAGGATAATCATCCCGTGGACATAGCTTTCAGAATATATTTTCTCCTGGCACTTATGCTTTTCTTTCAAATGGAAAGAATTCATGTCACTTTTTCTTTTAGAAATAAAATAATATTACTAGACGAGAAAATAAAAAGAAATTTTAAAACTGCAATGGAGGAAGAGTTTTATGATAAAATATACTCTATGGTTTCATATATCTTTTAATACTGTAATATCAGTGAACATGGCTATAATTTCTCATTGATTAGAGTTATATTTCCCGAGTGGGAAATCAGAAATCTCTTTGAAATGTAGCACAGTGTTTATGTCCCTCACAGGGCTGATGGCATTGTCTTTTTATCCAAATACAAGACTTTTACTTTTTCTTTTGTCCACAGTCACAGAATGCATCCCCTAAGCAAAGGAAGCAGAGCGTGTTCACACCACCTGCCATGAAAGGTACTGTTCAGGTACTGTTTTGTGTTGTTGCGAGTGATGAGTTCATAGCTGGCAGGCTGTCTGTTCTCAAGGACCATATGCTTGAAAATAACCTAGATCTAGCCCTGGTCAGTGTGACTCAGTGGTTAAAGCATCAGCCCAAGCACCCAAGGATCTTGGGTTCAAGGGCAGTACCTAGGTTGCAGGTTTGATCCTCAGCTGCAGTTGGGGAGCATTCCGTCAACCAGTTGATGTCTCTCTCTCTCTCTCTCTCTCCATCTTCTCTTCCCTCCCTTCCACTCTTTCTAAAAATCAATAGAAAAAACATCCTCGGGTGCGGATTAACAAGAAACAAAAACCAAAAAGATAATAACCTAGATTTAGTCTCAGCTCTACAACTTAGTAATGTGAATTTTAGTAAGATACTCTATCATTGAAAACTTGGTTTCATCAAGAGTAAAACAAGTGCTTGGAGAAGGAATAACCAGAGATGTCTAAGAATGCCTGGAAATTCAGATTTTTAAAATAATGACAAAGGTTTTTCTTTAACCCTTCCTCACATATTTTTCTTGAAGATATGTTCGCAGAATCCCTAATTATTCTTGCCAATATTGGCCGATGAGTGTCATTTTTTTTCTTGGCTTAACCGAAGTAGAATTTTGGTCAGATTTAATGTCAAGTGTTGCCTCATTGCCTTGTGTTGGGAGCAGCTCTAAGAAACCCAATCACACAGCTATTAGCTGTACATGGAACAGCTGTTGGAATAACAACTAAGAATGCTAACTCAACTTCTGGCATTTTCCCGGAATTTCTCCCTAAAATTGGAACTGCTAAAAGAAGATCTAAATGTATCAGAATTTTGACCAACACCAATTCCAAGAAAGGCTTCTTTTATTTCTCACACCAAAGTGTTCCTGACATGAGGCAGAGTGCGTCCAACCCAGTAGCTCGTGTTCCAGTCCGGTGCTTGGGCCGCCGGCCCGAGGGTTCATTATGCAGCCATTCAGCTGGGTTTCAGCTGCAGGAGAGGCCAGCTGAGCATCTTCCCCTGGAGCATGGACAGACAGCTAAACTGAGAGTGAAATTTTCCACTGTATTCTCTCTAGATTTGGGGCCTTTTCAGGGAGGTGGGATATAAATGGACGCATTAAGAGCTACTTTTTAGTTAACTTCCTTCCTGTGCAGCTATAAAACACCATGTTTGCTTGTTCATAAGACTGCAGTAAATAATCCAATCATCAACACTGTAGTTTATGCCAGGGTAATTATCGAGACTCAGGCATTCCTCTCTGAAGATAAATGTATCATTTTGGAGGTACTTTCCCTATTGTAAGTCATCTTGAACTTCCAAGACATATAAGTTTTGGCACGAATAGGCCACAATGAAAGATATATGTTCACTCATTTAATGATTTCCTCTGTTCTATTTTTGGTTAACTTAACTAAATAAAGTAATACTGTTCTCATGTCCTCAGAGAATAATAGTATTACTTTTAAAGAGAAATCTTAAAACCAAGGCCCCAAGGGCTCATGGTTTTCAATATATTTAGTTCTCAAATATCATAAGAATGTGGGATCCTAACATTTAGGAAATTTAGTTATATTGCACATTTTTACATATAATCTTATGACTGTCAAGCACTCCAAGATGGTCATTCAATATTAATCATTTTTGGTCATGAGTTAAAGGCTTGAGAAAGCACAGTAATTCTTTCAAGAGACTATGAGAGTGTTATTACAAGCCACTTAGGTAGATCCTCATTTATAACTAGTAAATACCTAGGTAAGTCTCCTGCTCCTGATAAAAGAAAAGAGAAAGCTAAATCCACATCTTTTATTCAGTCTACCTGTCCCTAAGAACTAGAAATAAATATTTCAAGACAAAACTAAGCAATGGTAACATATGGTGCATTGTGAGTACATTGGAAAGCTTCAATCATAAGAAAGGTGAATTTAAAAAGGAAATGTTATTGGGATGTTAAATGCAATAATACAATTGCTCTGAAATATATAATTCTTCAGATCGCACTGGAACATGCAGTTATTGAGTGTAAAAACATTTGCTGGGAGAGCAAAGCAGCAACAGATATGATTAAGAGTTCTGAAAAAAGCCTGACCTTTTGATCTTCTCCACAACAAATTGATTTGTCTTCCACTGTTCCCTTCTGAGGAAGTGGAATTTTCATGGGCCTAGGTACACTCCCGAGTTCCGGGAGTTTCCAGTGACCCTCTCCAAGGTCTTGTGGATTGCACCCCGTTAGTATCTCTTCACCTTCCCTCTTCTTTTATCTCCAGGGCAACCACCATATTTCAAGTGGCAATCATCTCTTTGCCAGGATGGAATTGGTTACTCTCCATCTAGTCTTTCCCTTTTTGCCCTCCATCCATTTTCTAGGCTGTAGCCAAAGTGAATATTTTTTTAATTCTCACCAGAGGATATTTTTTAAAATTGATTTTAGAGAGAAAAGGAAGGGAGAGAGAGAAAAACATCGATGTGGGAGAGAAACATTGACTGGTTGCCTCCTGGACATGCCTGGGCCAGAATCAAACCTGCAACCTTTTGGTGCATGGGGCGACACTCCAAACAACTATGCCACCCCGCCAGGACCCAAAGTGAACTTTTAATACACAAAAATGCTTATACCACTTTCCAGTCAAAACTCTGCAGTAGCTCCCTATTGTCATTAGATAAAATCCCTGTTCCAGAGCAGTTTTCAAAGCTCACTGGCCCCCACTCCCACTAGGTTGCCGCTATGCAGATGTTTTGCCAGCTGCTGAATGCACCGAGTTCTTTGCTGATTCAGGAAAGAACCTGCACATTTCTCCCTTCACCTAGAATGTTCACTCTTGTCCCCTTCTTGTCATCATTCTTCATTTGGCTAACTTTTACTCATTCTTCAAGCCCTGTTTCTAAAGTTCAGTTCCTGAAAGGAGTTTTCTTTAACCCTCCATTCTAAATTCTCTATAGCTCTACTTCTCTATTGATAACTATAAACTCCCTATAGTTTTTTCACTGCAAATAATCACAATGTCCATTTTTTAATTTAGTGTCTGTCTCTGCAGCTAGACCACAAGTGACCTATGCGGCAGCTGTGACAGTGTCTATCTTGTCCTCTACATATCTGCAGGGCTCAACATAATGCTTGAGACATAAGCTATGCTCACAAATACACCTTGGAATAAGTTTTTAAAATATACCCGACACTAGTGTTGGTGAGTGAATCATTTCCTTAGGAAAACCACCTTGTCTCTAATCTGTCAGAAAGATCTTTTCTCTATTAAGTCCCCTAGAAATTTGTATTCATGGATTCTTGTTCTATATCATGTTACTATTTGTGGCAAATTTTAAAATGACAACTATCTAAAGATTTCAAGCATTTATCAAGTTCTTGGCTCATCCTTAGTTTCCTTCTTTCCAGGTTAAATATCTAGAAGTCAGTTATGCTTGCCAGTTCTTTCACATTCATCCTTGACCTCCTAATAAGCTCCACTTTGCCTATGTCATTCTAGAAGTGCAACATTCGAAATCAACAGAATATTTAAGGTGTGGTCTGACCAAACCAGAGTGTAGACTTCAGTTAGACCTGTCACTTCCTTCATCCCAGATAATTTAATTCTATGAATGCAACCCAAAATCTTATTAGCTTTTTCTGGCAACCATTGACATTGGTGACAATGAGCTTACTATAAATTCAAAACTTTCAAGTCTTTTACATGTATTGCTTTTCAGCCATATTATTCACCATGCATTCCCCCTTTAAAAATTATGTCATTTTTACCCCCTAGCCAGTTTGCCTCAGCGGTTAGAGCATCGGCCTGCGGACTGAAGGGCCCCAGGTTCGATTCCAGCCAAGGGCACGTACCTCAGTTGCAGGCTTGATCCCCCCGGTCCAGGTCGGGGCTCATGCAGGAGGCAACCAATCAATGTGTCTCTCTCACATCGATGGTTCTGTCTGTCTCTCTGTCTGTCTTTCCCTTCCATGCTCTCTGAAAATCAATGGAAAATGTATATATATATATCTCCTCTGGTGAAGATAAAAAAAAAAAAAAATGATGTCCTTGTTTTAACCAAAAAGCAATTCTTTCCTCTTGTTAGAGTGAGGCTGTCATGCGAACATGCCATATTTCACATTGTGATTCTATCACCCATTCTATTTTTTATTATCTCAATTATGTGTCATCCATGAATAAGATAACTTATCTTTGGTGTTTTTATCCACATATGTAATAAACATAACAAATAGAAAAGAGCAAAGAGAGGGCCCTCTAATTGACCAGGATCCCCCCAAATGCCACAATATAACCAGTTATCAAATAGACCTATTATATAGGATTCCATCCCTTAAAACCAGAGGATAGTGTGAACACCCTTGTTAGGTACATTGTTGTATTTCAGATATCTTGTGCTGACCACATTTTTCATCTATACAGACGAGTCATAAACTTATAATGTATATTATGTATGACATGACAGAAGTTGGAGTTTGCATAGAAAACAGACTCACTTCTCCATCACTCACTTTTTCATTATAGTGCTTTATAATTATATAAGTAGAAAGTTCTGAAGATTATCAGAAAAATTGTAGCTGACTGCTGAACACCCCTGTGCACTTCTCTGGTGTTTATGTGGTGGTCAGCCCTGTAATTTACAGAACAGCCGATTCAATTATTGTTGGATAGCTTGAACCATGTTTTCAGAAAAGCAAAGTAGGTTTTAATCTTGGGACAGGAAACGACTGACTCATTTCCACCCCCATTTCGTGTTTATGTGTGTTTTACTGGAATGCAATTGCCTTCAAATTGAGGAAAGCAGAGCAAGTGCTATTGATTTAAAAGAAAATCTGAACATGAAACAAAGCGGCTGACTGAGAAATGGCTTTGTAGAGCAGGTCCTCTTGGTATTACGTTACCACCCTTAATGCGTAGCAAGTCAGATTTTTTTCTTGCACTTCTGAAATACATTCTCTTTCTCTCATTCTTCATAACTTCTCTATCCGTATAGTTCAGCTAGTTTGGTGTCC